AGAATTTCACGGGATTATAAATTCCATTGATTATATGAAACTAATCGCACATACTGCGTGGAAAATGCAACGAGTAATTTACGTCCGATGCAATTTAATGAACGATATCATTCAATAATACCTACGCATTGTGGAAACCGGGCAAATAATGATACGGGAAACGACGACGATGATTAGGGGAATTAGGTCACATTATTTCGTGTCCATTCTATTCGGTGTATTTTTAGATTCGTCCGGTCCCTTAATCACCGCGGAAATTACGGCATGGTGTGATGAACATGTGTGATATGAAAAGAGCAACGTCTTCAAGGGCTGACGACTTAAAAAATTCAAGTGAATCGATAAGTCTGCCAGTTCCCGAACACTCGCAAATAACTGAAGCAAACTTCGAGCCCCTAACGAAGTTAGTAGGTCGAGGCTCTTACATAATACAAGAAATTTCAAAAAGATCTGTCGCGAGTTGTTCCGCGTTCCCTTTTTAATATTTCCAGTGCTCTTGTCGTTTCAGGCACAATTTAACGACGAGAGACAGGGCTCGCCTCGACGAATGAATTTCATTTCACGCGTAATGAAAAACCTATAAGAGCCACTGTTGTTTGAGTAAATAATCGAATTTTCGAGGAGCAGTATTAATTATCGACATTTTCCTCGAGTGATAAAATATTCTACGGCTGATCGCTACCGAGTCTGTTATTAAGAACATAATAAAGAGCAGACTATTAAATAATTTTTAATTTCACAGACGAAAGCATACTAAAATACGTAAAAAGTTTAGTGTGAAAATTAACGAGTATATTATTTACTCAATTCTTTACGTTGAAAGTATTTGAATATTTCGTTTTCAGCATTTTTAATATAAAATATAATAAATGCAGAATAAAAATATTAACCATCGGTACTTTGGAAACAATTAATAATAAACAATAAAATGACTCTTCTCTAATTCTAGTCTTCGCTCCAACAATAAAATATAACCATACAAAGAGCGTATTAATATCATCAATATTTCCGATATCATGCAAAAGTCAATCATTTGCCGATTTAGAGAATGCACACGGTCCAAATTTGATATTAATAAACGTGATTACTATATTAGCATGATTTGCGCGAACTACGTTGAACAATTAATTAAATTCTAATAACAATCGTGAATCTATTTCTAGTATATTAACTCCTGAAATGTTTCAATTTAAAATACTTCTAATGGACCCAATAACGTTGGTCTTTTTACCTTGGCTAAAGAAGCATTAATGATGTGTGCACGTAGAAAATTGATGACTCATCGATTGTATTGCACAATCCATTAGATTAGAGGATAATAGATACCGATACCGGACCGAGGGTTCGTATGCTAGCTTAGGCAGAATAGGATTTTACATAGATTAACGCCTCAAATGCAATCTCCTCATTGTGTTTATTCGGATCAAAAGATTGATTTGTGCGACTGAATCAATTTGTGAGATGGCACCTTCTAACGCGCGTGAAAATTCATTATGTAATGAATTATTAATGGATTTTACATTTGGTTGTTAAATGAGATTCACGCTATAGGCGCATACAGTGGTGCGAATAATTATAGACACCCAAAGTAACTTTTACACTTTCAGTGATATTTGTATAAAAACTTGACGATATATCATATTTGTATATTTCTATATTAGATTTGATTTATATTAAATTTGTTAAATTTTCGTTTAGACATCGGGAACAATGAAATAGTTACTTTGAGTCTATAATTATGCACACCACTGTAATTGCTTTTTAAAAGGTGTTCGAATACTTCCGAGGGCTACTGTATATGTTTTAAAGAATATGCTAATGCGGGACATTTATGAAAGGTCTTCGCTTCATTACTTCTGATTTTTATGTAAGCAAATAATTTAATTAAATTTAATTTGTTGTAACCCTATCCGTATAAGGTCTTGCATTTTATGAACATTAAACGTTATTTCCTCAATTAATTTTGTGAAACATTGCTATTTAATGAAATATTTCATGAATTTATTTCTGAAATATTTTCTGTACAAATTCAAAGAGAACGAGATCTGTGAGTTATTATTCTTGTTAATGAATGTAATAAATGATCGATGGTACACTTTAATATTAATCGATATAAATAAATGAAGGTAAATCTTATGGAAAGAAAAATATGAATAGAATAATTCGATCACGGAGAACTGGTTAGGTAAATAATAAATGGCACGCTCAGAAAACTCATAATGGTAAATCATAGACGAATACAGTGGTCTTATCGGCATGATGGAGGTACTCTATCTGGAATTAGATTCGAGGGAGTAAAAGCTTTCGATCTGTCCCTGAAATCGTTCCTGCTCGCTTTTGTTTAGCATCCCCCGTTGTGTGATATATTTGTAAAACTCACGGCAGGAAGCGATCCTTGCCGGAAACGAGCACCCCGGGCAATTATTCCTGAGGATATCGCGAAATGAGGGAACGATGGGAATCGGAAGGGATAGGGGACAGTGAGATGCTACTTTCAATTGCTTTCAGAAACTCTGCTAAAGCCAATTATTACGTCAGAATCTTGTTATCCTTATTCGATGGAATTCTTGTAAAACGCTCAATAATGCTCAATATTTTCTACCAATATCGCCACCTGTGTTTATTAATCTTGTAACGGCTCTCGTATCTTTTAGTATAATAATACACAGTATTAATTGATTATCTTTGTTCCTTAAACTAAGAAGTCTAGCGTATCGATAAAAATAACAGTAATTACGGGACTGCAGATTTTATGCATTCATGACTTCAGAGCTTGGGAATGATGTCTACAGTCCGTTTCTATTTCAATGGTCTATTTCTGTGTGGGAACATTGGCATGTAAAAGGTTAATCAGATTCAAGTAACCTTCGCACTCCTCGCATCTGCAGGCCGCAGCCAAACCTGCACACTTATGACCCGTCGCTATGATATGAGTCAGAGCTTAAGGATGGCCCGGTCTCGCCACGAACGGCAGTCAACGAAGTGCCATTAATCAGGCTTAGAAAACCAGCGGGAAACCAATATCATCGGGAAGCAGCAACAGTGTCTGCGATCTTGAAAGGGTATAATATCGATTGAACGGTTAATTAATCGCCGGGTCAGAGTGTCGCCAGGGTGTCGACGTACCGCAAGCTGAGATCGTGACAGGCTCGTGGACTTCTTCTATTCGGTTGCGAAATTGTTACGCAGAGTCTATGTTGTCGACTTGTTTAGAAAAGCCTAGTCTCGGGGGAGCGAGAAGAATTCGCGCGAGGTTAACGAGTCCCGAAGGAAAATGTGTCGGCGCACAGGGAACGGAACAGGCTCGGATATAACCAAAGAATACGGATATAGCGAATTCCGGAAGTTGATTATCTCTTGGTAACACAGAAGTCACGAAACCGACTATTTTAGCAATCTCTGTGAACTACTATCGATCGGCCGAAAGATTTCCGATGCACGGTGGAGTGTTCGGCCTAAAAAGCTCGACAGAGGTCGATTTTTGCATATATAATATAATACGCACGCGTATTTCAACCGAAGACCGAACCCTAAAATGCCCACAATGTCAAACCAATTTAACCAATGAAACTGAAACTAAAAAGTTAAAATTTATCACGGTAGAAAGTGTTTTAACATTTTTGCATTCTAAACGTCCTTGTAAAATCCGATTTGATTTTAATCGAAAATTTGAGTCGCCCACAGGAGACCGAAACGACACTCGACGTGTTATTTAATAAATAAATGACATTTAATAAATAAATGAATCTCTGCTGGAAAATGTCTAGAAAATCTCTGCTTACGAAATATGTAACAAGGTTGCTAAAGTAATTGCTGTAACACCTCTTGTTTGTTTCTATTCGTACATTCCTAAAAACAATTGTTCCGGTCTCGCATAACTTGTATAGAGATTTGCGTGGCAGGCGATGTGGGTAAAATGGTTTTTGAAACTAAGTGGGAAACCTCTGTGAAGATATTGAGAACATTGCAGGTTGGCCTTGGTATGCTAACTAAGCATTAAAGGTACAAGAACCGACAAGTATAATTTGTCCTGCGTACCAACTGAACTCACAGTAGCAATGGTCTGTAACAACGAACGGAGAAGCGTTACGGGAGACATTGCCCGAGATTGCAACGAATCCCTCTCTTATTGTTAGTTCGATCAATGCTCAGTTGGCTCACCATGATTATACCAATATGTTTCTCGAAACCGCAGCAGAACTGAGTCGAGATAGAGTTCCGTTCGGTTAAACCTTTGGAAGTACACGGCGACTCGTCCGTCTATCGGCAAACCCCAAAAAGCGAAAATACCCTCAAAGGTTTTACTGTGAACTTGGTCGAAGGTCGCGGTGTAATGGATTCCTATTAAACGTGCGAGCTTCTAAAAGCCTCCTTTAATTACTGTCAAACGTTCCTGTCTCGCAACCCTGTATTTGATCTAGACAACTTTGGTCGAGCGAGGTATTATTCTACGCTGGAATTACTAGGATTCGGACACCTTTGAAAATGCGATAACTTATTTAAAATTCGAAGAATCGATTCGAATGTTTTCGAGATGTTAGAATAACCAGGATAGATGTACCAGTTTCTGTGCCTCCGGATTGAAAAACATATATAATATTAAAAAAAGTTTTATAACCGATCGTTCTTATTTTTTCTATTACGTTTATCGATCAACATGTAAGATTTGGAGAGAAGTATTGCATTTTCGACGGGTAAAAATGTAGTCAATGTATTTTACTGGCCGAAATCGGCTTGCGGTTCGCTAGATCGAGGAAATACGCTGGCACAGCGTGCAACTCGATCGCTACGCAGTCCACAGTGGCGAGATTAACCCTTTGCACTCGAGTGATGACTCTGACGCACCATATAAAATGGAAATACTATAAGTGAGAAAAATTATTTCAAATTTACAGTTGATACGGCTTCGAGTGCAAAGGGTTGAGCATCCTCGTAGGACGATACCGTCCGCGAAGTCAACGTCTTTCGCGTTGCTCTAACGTAGTCCTTCCGTTCCACAGATGATGCGGGCGCAACATGAAAGCGGCCCCCATCTTCCGAGAGAAGAGGAAACGATTTAAAGAAGCGGTCGGGGGACGATGACTTAAGATCCCACGGGGGACCACAGCGATCAACAGGAGAAAGAAGTAACAAAATTGCAAATGGCTCTGAGGCAGAATCGATACCGTCGTGACGCAAAGAACCGTGAAAGTTCTCGAGGTCGAGGTGCTTTCCTCCCCGTCTCAACGAGCCAATCCGCCGTGCTACTTCGAGATCGATGCGTGTAAAGTTCGCGCGAAGTGGAAGCCTCGAAGTTGTCCCCGTGCAGCGGCTCGAGGACAGGAATAACGATAACGATTCTTCCGACTTGCGCGCGCGATAATCACGCCTAGATCATCGGAGAGGATATATTACGTAGTGACCGTACACACGCCCGCACACATTGACAATGAGCTTCTTGAACTCGTTATCGCAGATAGTGACCGACAGCGTCGCGAGCTTGGGTCTCAGCCCGAAACGGTTCTCCTTCAACCGAGAGGACTCGGCCTCCAGCGCGACCGGAAGAAGCAGCTCCACCGGAAGCGTCACTGGGACAACGAACACAAACTCTACCGCGCAACAATCGACCCCACATGGCTATCCCAAGGTACGGTATACTTTTCGCAGAGCTTATCTCTTACGGTAAGCTAGATGTGCTTAGTTATTATGTGGACCCCCGATCACCGGACCCTCGCGGCACATTTTTCAACCTAACAAAAATTAGCTTTCTCAGATTACGCCGTAAACATAATTTATGACACATGACGCGGTGCGAGGTCATGCTTGTCGGAAGCTTCAATAAATAGTGGATAGACGAACGTCCAATAAAGCATGTCACACCGTACAAATAATTGTCGTTAATAACTCGTAAACGAAGCCTCGGACACAATTTTCGCAAAGGAAAAAATTGCTTCGAATGGCCTCGGAAATCCCCCACTTTCGGATTGCGAGACATTTTTGGGACATCCTGTATATGTCATTCTTGGCATATAACCTGTTTACTTCCACTGACAAAGCATTCCTAGTTATTTGATTTGTGTAATCGATAAAGATCCTTCTGTCTCAATAAATTACTTAATTCTACCTTCGTCGTTACGTAGAAATTACCTCCATATCGTCTACAGCATCGCGTAAAATAATTCTATTCGTGGTGCCCCTAACCCTGCGATGCTTAAGGAGGGGCCAAAAAGCGTTCACATAATTCAAAACGTTATATCTAACAAAGAGGAATTTGTGTAAAAGATAAATGGTCTGGTTCTGCAATAGAAAGATATTGATTGTAAACAACGTACTAAATTATAAATAAACATACCTCGAACAGAAAAGATAATTTTAGCACTCTCTCATATGTGTACACGGAACTCTCCCTTATGCTGACCTTAAACCTTTCGCAGCTTTAAATATCCTAGAGTTGAAAAAGCCAGAATGATCGCTATTTACAAGAAAGATAACAATATTTTGGCAATTTTAACAAGGAAATTGTTGTTTATAATGCATTTCAAACGCTATCAGATACGTTTAAAAAATCGTAGAGTCAGCAGTTTAACTAAAATCTCATTCGAATCGTCATTAGAATTCTTTTTTCCTTCAAATCCCAGTCACCTTTTCATCCTTCAATATTATTAAAAAACCTGAAACTAGATCTAATTTAAATTGTTATCGATTAAAGTCTGTCTCGACGAATTGGAAGCGTTTCATTAGGAAAGCGTTTCATTCTGCCTGATAGTACAACTTACGTGCGAACAACATAAATGACTGTAAAATGCTCGTAGTCAACCGTCGCCGAGAGAGTTGAATTCCTATGGAGACAATAAAATCCAGACCATCGAAAAGTTTCCGTGTCTCGGCGAAGAGACGAGAATATCCACCTGCGTTCATTCGACAATGTTAGGCGGCGTCATATAAAACTGTCGGCGCCTGAAGAGACGGAAGCCGAGAATGCGCGTTAATCCCTCCGGATACGAACTTCCTTGGAAGACAATTATACCGATCTCGACGCGTCTGTTTACTGTTTCAGGTAGTGCCACCTCCGGGCACTACGCCGTCCTCCCATGGACGCTCATTGTCGACGCGTAGACGAACCCTCGAGTGCACTTCCTCCCCAGGACTGACGGTGCATCCAGCGACAGGAAGTGCATCGGGCAGCACGTCACCGCGCAGAGTCGGTTCTTTTCGGAGGAGCACCGGTTCCTCCGATCGGCCGCCTTTGATGTTCTGTCGAAGGAGACCCTCTTGGCCGGAAGTCGACATACAGGCTACTTCTGGGTAAGTGAGACCTTCTCGATGACACCTCGGCGAGTTATTCCACTGGAGAACGCCGAGTCTTCTACTTGAAACGAGGAACCCTTCAGACGAGCCGTTGAAAACGAACCGTGTCTCCTTCTTTAACCCTCGCCGTACCGATGGTTCAATCAACTTCCCGGGCGACTACAGGACGCTTACGTAGAATATGCTATAACTCCCGTTATAACCAGAAAGACGTGATTCTTGAGATAGCTTGAAACAACTTTTCCCTTAGCAAAATTGTTGGTTATAGCTTCGTTAACGAATTATTAACACGTTAAATGGCGGATGTAAACCTTAACACGTTGAATGCCACGCCGGTTTTACAGAAATTGTCCGTGGCGCCACGGTGAATTTTCTTTTATGCGATGCATATAATGTTGAAATATTATCTGCAATAGATAGGTTACAGTGTATAACCATGTTCGACATGTTAATTGCGACGGGAGTCACTGTTTGAATTGACGATGGTAATAATATAAAATTTTAGATATCGACATTTGTTGTAAATTATATATATTTCTATCAATTTGGGCGCGCCGGTCACCGGTGACCCCCGTGGCATTCAACGTGTTAAAATATTTCTACGTTTTTGCATACAAGAGCAATATCAAGTGGAAGTCCAGACGATAGAGAATAAAGTATGGAAAGGAGTGTTCCAAAGTATTTTTCTATTTTCCGATGTAAATACCTGAAAAATAAATTGAAGTGCAACGTGCAGAATGTAAAGTCCTTCTCAATGGGATCGTCGGTCACGCAAATTATGCACATGAACAGAAAATATTCTAATAATAAGTGATGACGTAGGTGGTATTCAATAAGACCACAAGCGAAAGCTGCCTTTACGATCCTGACTTCTTAACATGGATCTTCGTACACAGTGCCCTTACCATTATTTTGTATATTCGTATAGAACCGACGCAGAAAGGAGACTAATTTAAATATAGAATGGTTCGCACGGCACTACACGAAGGTGTCAATTTCGTATTACCATTGAATTTGAATCTTAAGCAAACTTCTAGTTATAGCCTCGTTGGCTCTACTTCTCCAACGCATCGTTAGCTTCTGTTACGTAATACTCCTTTCGTATAGTTCCATCGTTCGAGACTAGCAACGTGATTATAGATAACAGTGGACACCATCGTCTTGCGATGGTCTCATTGATTGCTGTCCCAGTTCTATATTACTTCTCCTTCGCTTGTCATTAATCGTATTTCTGTCATCATTCGCAGGACTGACGGTAGACGGTACCAGCGCGATGATATAATTACAAGGAAAAGACTGAGCCGAAGTTATAACTGTAGAGCGTTGTACAATTGTCGATATTAGAGACTACTACTATGTATTCGACATCATTTGCAATCAGTAATGGATAAAATGGCACACTCCAGTCGATAACTCGCCGGGTACTTGTTTGTTTTGAGAAAAATGATTAGTAGAACACAAATGCAATTTTCTGGATTAATTTTTTATGTATATACAGGGTATCCCAAAAATGTCTCGTAATCCGGAAATGGCGGGTTCCTCGGATCAATTGAAGCAACTTCTTCCTTTACAAAAATGTTTTCCGAGGCACCGTTAACGAGTTATCAACGAAAAACAGTGACCAATAAGAATCGAGTACGGCTGACGCGAGGCGGCCCAGCCAACCAGCGCACGAAGCCCAGTTCCGCTCATTGGCTCGGTCGCCTCGCGCCAACTGAGCTCGCCTCTCATTGGTCACTGTTTTTCGTTAATAACTCGTTAACGGTGCCTCGGAGAACATTTTTGTAAAGGAAAAAGTTACTTCGAATGACCCGAGGAACCCGCCACTTTGGGATTGCGAGATATTTTTGGGACACCCTGTATATTCATTTTATAGTTATATCTCTATTGAAAATTATTGTTTTGCATATAGAATCCTAAAAACGCATAGTAATGGATAACTAATCCGATGTCTTCGTTTTCGTCGATGTTAGAATGTGCTATTCAAATCCTTGTAATCTGCCAAATCTTGAGCTGGATAAGTCTCCAATTGATGAAATCCTTGAGAAGCAGTAGCGGGTTTAAACTTCGAATCAAATGTATTTCATTTACTTCATTCGATACACATTTAATCCGGAGTAAATGAAATTTTAATCGCTTCAAGAGATCGGGAAAACTGTTTCTTAAAGTAGTAAGTAATTCGAATTCGCTTGAATTAATCTTGACCAATGTTTGTTGAAAGGCAAGTGCCTCCCTGTTCCAAACTACACATTGATAGCTTAATCTGTTCGTCTCTAAGTTTCTCTAAGCTCTCCAATTAACCATACTAATCCCGTTTATCTAAGGTCACTTTAATTAACTGGCAGCAATGCCACGGTATTTCGAACAGGCAGTTAAGGAATCTGCGTTTAAAGCTTGAAATATTACTTGTATTTGTTGTTAATATTATTTATTATTTATTATTGCTGTTTTGCTAGCTCGAGAGACTAATATCTCTTTACGTTTGTACGACTGGAGGACAACGTGTATAAAATAATATGATTTTCCATGAAAAGAGTAAGTTGATTTTCCATCAAAAGTAATTGATTACATATTCTCGATTGCATTTAAGAGAAAAAACATGATCCCATGTAATCTTTAACATTTAACATTTACATTTACCTTGACATGGCTTCTTTGACATTTCTCTATAACTGCACTGCTAACAATCTTCTAACCTTTTATTGTTTCGAATACAATAGGCAAACGTGATGAATAGAAATGCGATTTAAAGAGATGACCAAAAGCCTTATATAAACAATAGAATATCTCATACAGATTCAATAATGAATTATGTTAATAATGTCCAAATATATATATAGAAACGAAAGAATTATAAAATGGAGATTATAATCGAACCACTCGATAAAGAAAGAGGCATAATTAGTTCTCGGTGGGAGGATAAGATAGCGTAATTTACGAGTTTTGCTCACGCGAGAAGCGAATTAAATGTGAAATAAATATAAGATATACATGTAGCGCACCGTCATTTGGCTGCTACACTAGCTTAATATTGCTATAAAGATTACGACCAGTATTTATTGGCAAGAAAGAAAAATATTTTTGTTTAATATTTCAATAAAAAATATTATCTTCTGCTGACAATATCATTGATCTTTAATTATCATGCTTTGTATGTTTTAAAGTGAAATGTTCTTTCATTTGTCCATTTAATGAATCGCTTTGATTGTATTCATTAGAGATATTGATGTTATAAAGGTATCACTAATTAATAGAAGTCCAATAAAATCTTACAACAGGATTGGACTCGATGAACCGTTGCGTGATTGAACTCCCCTCGGTATGCTACTTCTGTCTGTGTTTAAAAATAATATAGACTCCACTTGTGAAGCTCGAATGACCTTAAGATGTCCTTGAAGCATTCATAAATAAATAAAACATTAGGCGATAGTCTCACCACACTTTTCTGAAATCTTCGAACATCATTGAATTAAAAGAAAACGAACTAGCTCTAATTAATTGAAATCCAGATAATAATCTACGGTTATCGAGTTGTATTTTAAGCAATTGCATTTGTATCGTCGGCAACTCGCTCAATTTTTGACAATTATATCAAATAAGTTACCGTTATATTAGGAACGACAAAGAAATATTATACGCGAGGTGTTAACGTTTAAATCCTGTCTTTAATATTATTAATAAAATACCGTCATCGACAGCAATGAATTTGCATTCGGTGTTGTTCCACGCGATTCGTGTTTAGTTCCGCCGCGCCGTGTCGTCGTCGTTGGTAGGATTCCCCGACATTATATTGTTCGATCGAAGTCCCAAGCGGGACACGTCTTCCCGAAGAAGAAAATTCGTATTGTGCAATAGTATATAACAGGTATTTACGTCGTACGCTTGAAAGAAGCCCCTTTTATGCTTCTTGACAAGCGGGAGCGGAGCCGGTATCGGTAAAATAAATTGGAATCGTGAGCGCAGGGTGGGAGATTCGATGTTTCTTTCTAAATTTGTCGGAAGCTTTCGCCGATAATGCAGCCGTCGATGAAATCGGGAACAACGTGAACGGTGATAAATCAAACGTCTCTAGCCTGACAGGCTGAAGGACTTCATAAATACAGCCGAAGAATGCCGGCTAATGAGAAACCGAAGTTCCGAGGATAAGGACGGATTGATGGGAGATCCTCGGAGCGAGCGCTTCAAGGGGACAGTGAAAACGACATCCCCTTGGATCCGTCCTGATGATTGCCGTTTCGTTCCGCGCTCGATCGCAGTTCTAACTCCGTCTCCACCCTGCCCTCGGCTTAATTAAGAAATAAACGAGATCACGAGGAGTCGCGAACGGAAAGAATAATTTGGAGGTTTGTTACCGATGGCGTCCTTTAATCGATGAACTAGCAAATTTAATAGCAACCTTATGCCGGGTCTACAATGCTGTTCGCGAGCTGTGCTCGCTAGCGATGTGGACATTTTCGCGAACAGCGAATAGAGAACATTGTTCGCTCGCGAAGCGGTACATTGAAAGTACCGTTCGCGAGATTGGAACGTGTCTGGATCAGTATAGCCACGAAAAGTCACTACGCAAGGAGTGAAGTGACAACGCATGCGTAGGGGCGTCTACAGGGTGAACATTATAATTCTGAACTACGTGGACGCCTCACGCCCCTGCCCCCACTCCTTGCGTAGTGACTTTTCGTGATCGCACTGACCTGGACGCGTTTGTAATGCCGGGTCCACGCTGCTCTTCGCGAACAGCTCGTAAGCTGTACTCGTATCTATGACGTAAACTTTTAATAAAATACTTTTGTGATGGATGACATAACGCTACATCTTCTAGACGCTAAAAGTTGGAAAAATCGATTCTACAGCGTACTCGATGATAAACTGTGGTGTTAGTGATGCAGCAGTCATCTATTTACGACTTAAATCAGTTAAAGACCTTTGACGCAACAGGATACTTTTCTTCTTGTTGCTAGAGTAAACAACTCGGATAAAATAATTAAACTAAATAAATA